GTATAATGAGAAACATCGGCAAAGTGGAGTTTCTGAGTTCGCCACGGCAGCTCCAAGTATCGTCGCGCGAAGTACAGAGCTTCAGGGTAACTCATAGCTGTGAGGGGTGTGCGTGGGCCTTCTTCTGCCATACTAGGGATTAAATAGTCAATCGAATTAGGGTTATGGTTGACTAAAATGGAATCCAAAGTTGTCAAGTACTTATGGACCCAGTGGTGTGAACTGACACTCAAGAAGCCGCCGCAATGAATGCCCCATGGAACACCGTGCACGCAGGTCTTCGCGCGCCAAGAAAGTCCCCTGAGAGTGAGTCCATCGTACTGCATCGTCTGAACCATCATCCGTTGGAGGTCGCCGAATCGCATGCCACTGAAGGTCATCAGTAACAGGCTACCGAGCACTATGATTTCTAAGACCGAGGCCTGACTCATGAGTATGCGTCTTTCCCACTGGATCAGAACGATCAAAGGAAAAATCAAAGACTCGCGGCGATCTCTGATAACGATTTCTTTCGTAAATGAATTGATTAACGATGACGTACTAGAACTAAAGCAACTCAATTGCAGGTTTTTCCAACTCCAACGAATGGCTTTCAATGTCATTTGGGAAAATTTCCCAAGTTCTGAGGAGTGGGCATGAAGGGCGTCTGCCAACGTGATTTCGGTCAAATCGAGCACAGAAAAATGAAGCCAATGAACGGTGTTGGCAAAACTGATCAACGCAGACAAGTATTTGAAGACTGTGGACGGAGCGAATCCATCCAAGATCCTGAGCAAGTGCGCGTCTGCAAACTCACTGGATGATAAGTCTTGCAGGAGTGTTGAACAACTGGCATAAACACTTAGAAAGAGAGGCAGAATCTGGCGAACAAGGTGGCTATCACTACATCGCTGAGCTCGGGACTGCGTTTTCGATGGTTTCGGAATGGATTTTGGCTGGTTGGCTTTGCGTTTTGATGAATGCAAAAACGTCTCTGGTTTGAGAATGCGTGAAAACGCTGAAGTCCGTTGATTCTGGTCTTGCCACGAATGCAACGCGTGAGAACTAGATCCAACGTGCTCAACCGATGGACCTGGGGGCAACTCACGAGGTAGTGTTAGACTAACACTAGAGTGAACTGGCATATCTGGTCGTTGCAAGGCTGACGACTTCGAAAAATGCACTGAGCGCTCTGGTCCCGACGACCTTGAAGGCAATGCAGCGGGTCCTGACAAGGCGGACGAACCTGACAGGTCAGACACACTTGGAAAAGCTCGGCGAGTATGGGCATGACTGGTAGAAGAAACTGACTGCTGTGGTCCTGTGGGTGTCACATGAAACAAAGCATGAACGCGAGGTCCCGATCGCACTGCTGGGCGTTCCAATGGTGGGTCCGGTGATATCAAGTCCCACGGCTCGGATTGATGGTCTGCAATTGAATCTGGCATCGACTGTCACCAGAACTCAAGACGAACTCTGAGGTCCGGTAAGGATGGATAGAACCCCAATATCTGCACATGGCTCGGCCCTCCCAAGGATCGCCCGGTGAATGCAATGCAAACAAGAAGTGGACCCGACATGTCTAAACGGCTGAGAAAACCATGACATGACCGCATGGAAACATTGTGTGTGAATGGTAACATGTAGGCAAACACATCTCGTGTGAACATGAAAAGTTGTCAGAGGCTTCCCCGTTCGCAGGGGGGCACCTCATGCCTTTTTTTGTGTTTTTTTAAAATTTACGCAATGCTAAGAACACAAATGAAACATCCTTGAGCCAAAATTTGTTTAGGGAAACAAATTGAAAAGATCATCCGTAAAACAAAACGAACAAGTACGTTAATAATTTCATCTGGAATGTTCACAAAGGAGGAGCCTCGGAGTGCTTGTTCTGTCACCCTCCTCCAGAGGAATGTACGGACGAGGCGATTAATCTGCTTGCTGGAGATAGCAAGCCTCGCCATCGGCCATTCTCTAGGCAGGTCACTATAGATCTGTAATGCGGGGAGCGGCACCCTTTGCCTGGCAGTTTCTCTGGCCGTTCGAGCCGCATTTTGATAGTCGTATAGGGCCTGCGTGGCTCTCTGCTCGGATTCCAATTGAAGATCAGTGTCGGCCGTGCCTCCACGCTCTGCATTCTCTTGATCACTGGCAATGTCAATTTCAGTCATAGCGTGTGGGCGCGCTTGCGCCGATCCAGGGTGGTCAGGTGGTGTCTTAGGGTTCCTGCAAACGGAAGCTACCGGATTTTGAGCATTCCGACTGGCCAGGTCTGCCAGTGTGGCCGGTGGTTGCTCATGTTCAGGAATGCTGCCGAGTGGTTGCCTGGATGTTGGAGCAAGTGATTTCCGTAACTTCTTGGACTGAGCTCGCCCGGCGCTAGCCTTGGACCCCGGTCTTCGTTTGATTGGGGACTCAGAGGAGTGCGATGTGGGGCTGCTACTTGGGGGGTCCACGTCCTGTGGGGGTAGCTCGCTCCCTGCATCATCTTCTGCCTCCAGCATCTCATCTTGCGCGGGACATGCATCAGGAAGGGCCGGACGATTGCTAAGGCAATCACCCTCTTCTTCTGCAGAGGAGGTGCTAGCACTAGCATCATCTGCCATGCGCGCGTCATCATCCTCCGGTTGCTCTGTGCTCGGGATAGTGGGCGACTCGGAGGAGGAGCTGTGGATTGAGACTGCTTCATTTGCGTCTTCTTCAGCCATCGCAGCATCTGTCACAGCAAGAGAGGACAGCGATTGTCACTCTTGCACTTCTTGTTCCTCTTTTTCTGGGTCACGGTCAGAGACAGAGAGGACCTCAGGTGTCAAATTTGGCCGAGGCCAGTAACAGCCATGCTCTAAAAGGCCTGGTTGCGGTGGCAGGACAAGGTCGGATTCTGGGGCATCTAGGACTGGCTGCACTCTCCATGCGTCGTAGAAGTACACCCGGTGCAGTGCTTCAAAGGTATAATCCTGTGCACTGCGCTGTTCACGTGTGCTTGGCGTTGGTTGATAGCGCAGGGAGCTTCCTACGCTACACCGTTGCCCTGGGCCAGAGCTATTGTGGAGAAGTCGCCAACGTCCTGGCTGCTGCCCATCTGTTATGACCAGCCACTCTGGCTCAAGCGAAGCATCAGCTGCGTAACCATAGACAAGGTTATGCAAGACCGTACCACCAGGCAGGTAGGGCCCTTCTAATAGGCTAGCAATTTCCGCCTTGGTCAAGTGCGTGAGCGTAGCTAAAACGAGACGTAAGCGCCTCACCTTACCGTGATGGTGTTCCGCGAGACAGACCGGTAGAGGGCCGAGCGACATTGGATGGGGCAGGAGCGCCTGTTGGAAGAATGTCGTGGCTTGCGCAACCTGCGTGGCTGTAAGGTCCAAGGAGCCTAGAATGTCAGGCTCTTTGTTGCTGTCATAGGTATTTATCCATGCAGAAGGGCTGCTAGGACTTGCAGGGCCCCAGGCATTCCTTGCATGTTCAATGGGCATGCTAGGATGGTAAGGTCAGTGGCTCGGCTGTATGCTACATTCGCTCGTGTGAAGCACTCCTGGTCATAATCTAGGTTGCGTCCCTCGCCACTGAGAAAGGTTGACACCCCGTGAATGACGATGCAATGTTTGGCCGTGGCGCCTGCAACTTTGACTGCAGTCTCTGCATTCGCCTTCTTGCCGGCAATGGAGAAATAATTGCGTAGGTTCGTGGCCCCTTCCCGGGTGGTTGTGAGGGCCAAGATGTCATCAGTGTCAGAGCCTGCTTTGGTAAGTTGGTCTTCGAGGTGTTGATACACTCTTACTGTAGGGTCATTGTTTGGGTTTTGCCTTGCCTGCACATTGGGCGAAGCATGGCACCAGTGGACGAAGCGTAGGCCTGTGGCAAGCCAGTGATCCTCTCGAATGGAGGTGGTACCTATTTGCCAGGTGTCTCCCATTCGGCTGCACAACATGGGGTACTGAATTCCTATTAACGGCTCGTACACTTCTTGGGCAACTCTTGCGCTCGTTGGCAACATTAAACTCCAGCAGTGCGGGCTCGCAACTCCCGATCTCTCAGCCGCATTTTGCGCCTGTCGGAAGTCAAGCGGGCTGTCCGGGCTGGTAGCTGCATATCCTACCTGGACATGGCTTCGTAGTACTTTTTTTCGGTTTTTAGTCAAAAACCAAAAAAATTGGTAAAACCAATTCTTTCCAAAGTGTGCGCAGAACAAAACATGTTTGCGCACCAGGTGGGCTCAAGAACTGGTTTTCCAAGATCTGCCTTTGGATGAAGAAAGGCTTTCATTGTCCGCTATTCCAAGAATTGGTTTTTCCAACATTGTGTGCACAAAAAACACACACAGTGGAACTTGCTTGAGCCAGAAAAGCTGCACCAATACCTTTTTTTTCCTTTGTGTGTGGCAGCGTAGCCACTTGTTTTGGGAGTTTGTCACGCCACACATACATGTGTATATATATATATACTAATTGCGAAGAAACGGTTTTCCCCCTGGGGGTTCGAGATTAAAACCATTCATGTATTTGGCAACATTGCCAACTGCATGACTGGTTTTAACTGGCAGGTACATTTTTCACACACACGTGCAAAGAACAAAAACTTGTGTACAAGCGGCAGCAAAACAAATTGATCAGTTAACACACACACACACCAGCTGAACGCAAACATCGTTTTTCCCACAAGAGTTTGGTTTGGATCAACCACTTCTGCGCTGACCTCTTAGAGGTAGTTGCAGGGTGCACAGATCGCGCAAGCCGGCTTGACCGGCCCACATGATCTTCTGCCATCTGAGTCGAGAAAAGCGCAGGGTTGAGAATTCTGTTCAAGCCTGAACTATCGAAGACTCCCAACTGTTTCTGGACATCAAAGGCCACATGCATCAAATAGTGGTATTTGGGTGTGAGGCTAAAAAAAACACAGTCCACGGTCGTAGCATTTTCGGGCACAGTGGTAGTATTTTTCTGACCACAAATTCAGCAAAGCCAATGATTCCAGTGCATCTGCGCGATCGAGAAATGGGTTCCTCACACTGAAGACAAGACTCAAAAGTCTTGGATGGACTTTGCGCACAAAAAGGCATCAGCCATGACATCATCCAAGGCAATGTCAGGGCCCTCCAGAAAATTAATCAAGAAAAGCAACAGCAAACGGGTGTCAGAACCCTTAAAGCTGCACTCCGGGTATTTGTGCTGCGATGTCCAACTCAAGTTTTCACGGGTGAAATGTTTTACCATTGGTGTCTCCCTGATCCTCCGGCAAAAGTTACGGAACTCACGGTAAGCCTGCTCAAGTCCAGCTGGAATGCTGCCCCCTTCCTCAAGGTCAGAGCTCAGCAAGAAAACAACAAAAATAGAATTTAGTCGTACTAGACGTACAAACCTTGCAAGAAAAACGCTGCCAAAACTCAAAGTGCCCTGCGTGCACCAAATAGCAAATGAGGTTGATGACAAATCCACGGACAATGCCTAAATGGCATATGTGGAACAAGTCCTTTGACAGGAACTGTTCACTCCTCGCTCCAGGTATCTCTGTAAGCGGGCTTGGGTTGGTCCACGGACGCTCATCACCAAGAGTGGTGCGCCAAAGCGCTTGCTGCCTGAAATCTGTGTAAGGGACGTTCGAATCGTCTGCTGAACACCATACACACATAGGATTTGGCACGCAGTTAAAGTTGCGTTTGCAATGGTATGCTCGCGCTTGGGCCGGCAAATCCCCCTCGTGGGCACACCACACGAAGTAGAGTTTTCCAAACCAAGGAGTTTCAAGTCCTTCACGATACATGCTGGCAGCCTGCGCTGCCAAATGTGAGCACAGTTCATCCAACACGGAATTGCCACGTTCAAAACCTGCATGTGCTTCTTTGTAATCTTCATGGGACATACAAGACCAGAAGAGATACCTATCCCAAGAGGCTGCACCATCAGACAGAATTGGACCCCAACTGAATTGGTAGACAGCTGTTTTGCGCAGTCCAGTTCCCTCATCGCTGTGTAGCTTGATTGGTATGCACCTTCCCAGTTCCTGTTTGTGATCTTCAAAAACTGGGTGCTCTTGGTAAAATTTTTTGTAGCATTGCCAATATTCCTCCAACAGGCTTTGGAAACACGCAAAATCATCAGCAGAAAAGCCAGCCAACAATTTTTGAGGATATCTTCCGAGGACATATTCAGCAACTGCACGCACTTCCAGGCAGTAGTGTTTCTTGCCATTTGTTTCTAAACAGAGCTCTTTCAGGGGGATCGGAAGCGTCCCACCAATGTTCACAACCTGCTGAATAAAAACCGACTCTTTGTCACTTTTGGCTCGGTGGGCAATAGCAAGCTGTTCCATCTCACGATAGCCTGGGCACCCTGGTAACATAGTGCGCCACTGTGAGTAGGCATGCTCTGATGCTTTCTCAGCATTGTGAGCCTGAGAAATCACAAAATAAGTAACCCCAAATCCCAAACGATGAATTTAGCACAATCGCTTTGATAGCGCAGAAACCGATTATGTTTCATTCCAGAAGATTATGTGTATTGCGAAAGTGCTTAAAATACGGGACAGAGGGCCCATGGAATGAAACACAATCGGTTTCCAGCAGTTCAAAGCAATTATGTTAAATTCCGACACGGAGTCTTTCACCTTTGTGTGCATGTTTGTTTTTTCATCAAGCGAACTGCCAAGCTTGGGACAACATAGTCCTCCAGTATGATTTTCACTGAATCAGCACCTGCAGCAAGTTACTATATGGAACCCAAGTGACAACTATATATAAAGCTGTCATTGCAACATCGCCAAAAGTTTTTGCGCACTCGGGCTCTCAGGCTTTGGGCTTCGATCAAAGCAATCACCCCGCATAGAAGCACAGTTGGCTTCTTACAAAGTAACCGCAGCCAAGGTCAATAGCTGCAAATTACGAACCCAATCCCACGCGGATCTTGTTGAACTGAAGGCCACCAACGCAGACACACGTACATTTGTATTTTCAATACTTTCTGTCAGCAACAAGAAACAAAACATTGATTTCACTCTTCTTCCTCCTTGGTGCCCCTCTTTGCTTTTGATTTGGCAGCTGTTTTGGGCAAGTAAACTTTTACTGCCGACGCAAGATTATTGAAAGAAATGCAAGTCTTCTCAATGGTGACTGCGATCTCCCGGTAAGGAGACTTGTTGCCAGGGTTCTGTTTTCCCTGCTCAGTCTCCAAATCGCAGATCTTCTTGTAGTGACCACCGAGCTCGCCTTAAACACACAACAGTCGAGCGCAAACACGGAGTGAAATACACCACACACACACACAATGCGCATGCCTATGTTTATGTATGAACGGATATGTATGAGTATACGTATACTTTAATACATATTAAATATATATATATATATCTAGAGGTACATTTCAACAATAATTAGAGACCATCGGGGACAAAAAAGAACAGTTGCAACCTGTCGAAGTTGCTGTTGGTTCTGCTCAGTGCTGCGTACTCATCCCTGAGCTGCCCACAAAGAAGAATTGGTCAAGCACAAACTATCAAAAAGCACATCAACACCACAAATTTTGCTTTGGTATAAAAGCAAGGGGCTGGGTCGTCGAAAGACCCGCTGCCTGCCACTTCTCTGCCAAGGTCTTGAAAACCCCCTTCCGGTTGAGACAAGCCTTTTTGTACTTCTGGACAAATTCATGGCAACTCTCAGACCCTTCAATTGAAGGGAAAGGTTGAGGCTTTGGCTTTTTGCCCAACAGCTGCTCTGGGCGGTCGCTGTTCTCTTCATCTTCATCCGAAACCTCCATCATCATATCGCCCACACCACAACTGAAGTGTTCATTGAACAGACCAGTGCTTTCCATGAGTTCTTCGAGCTCCTTCATTTTCTCCGAGCCTTGCCTTGTTTTGCTCAAATTGATTGCCCTTAGCTAGCAGAACTATTGAGCTGGGGGCAGGAAAGCACATGAAAATTGCCTAAACCAGAAAAGCTGCTCCACTTTGTCGCTCGTCAGCACCAAGTACTTCTTAACCTTCTCATAAGGACACTGCTTCGTCAACTTTTTGGCGTTGCAATGCTGGATTGCACCGGCAATCTTTGTCCTTTGTTCTGGACTTGGGTATTGCCCCAGCCAAACCACCTCAAAAACAATAGCCCAAAGAAACATGTTAGGTAAATCTCAAAAACCAAGCTTCTCACTCCAGTTCTTTTCTTTCATCTCAGCCTCGGTGAGCCACTCAAAGCCTTGCAAGCTTCTGGACCAATCTCTGCTCATTTGCCTGAGCCGGATGAATGCTTCCAACCTTGTACGGTTGGCTGCGTAGTCCTCCTCCGGCTGAAAGCATCGCTTCACAAAGGTCTGCAACAGCTTGTTCCGCGCAGCCCCACCCGACCTCCAAGCATCCAGGATTTCCTGAGGGACCTTCTTTTTCTCTCCGTCGCGGCACATCCGATACAGGAATCCCCAAGCCTGTGGACACGTCATAGAGTTTATAACCATTTGACCATCTTTGGTGGTCCTGAGATTTGCTTGAATCAAAACGCTAGAACAAAAAATCCCAAAACCAAAATTCCAAAAATTATATATTTTAATAATATAGTAAATATATATAAATATATATATATATAGATATATAAATATCAATATGTGTGTGCGCACGCCTACATATGCTTCAGACAAACACCAACAAACTCACACAGCCACTCACCAACGCATCCAGGGTGCCCTTCACCTGAAGAAGGATCCGCTGGCTGTCCCAGCTGACCTGCTGCCTGTGCCAGCTCTGCGTGCCCCAGCTGCCCCATCTGCGAAGGAGACATTGCTGACAGCGAAGAATGCTGCGCAGGAGATGCTGTCTGCGCAAGAGCAGGAGACACTTCTGGCTGCACTTCTGGTTGAAAAGGAAAATTTCCACCCTGCAAAGGCTGTGCAGGAATTGCCTCAGGAAGCCTTGCCTCCCCCCCTGCTGCTGCCCGCCAAGGAGCTGCTGCTTGCGCCACCCCTGCCGGCTGCTCAGGTTGCAACACCTCTGCTGGAGACGTTGGGGTCATAGAGCGTGGGGTCAAAGACTCACGGAACAATTGGCCTGGTGTCACTGGTGCCTCAAGCCACTTTCCTGACTTCACAGGGCCTGGACGGAAGGGCACAGGTGGTGCACCTGACTGCCAAGACGGTCTTTCTGTAGGCCCTGTAGACATCATGTCTTGCGTGCTTTCTGGTTGATCAATTGGAGAAACCGGCGAGCACGCCTCTAGGTCAATCTCCGTGATTTTTGCTGGTAGCTGGCTAAAGGGATTCCCAACCGCCATCTCCACTTGGCACTGGAAAGGCGTGACACCCCCCAAGAGGCAGACCTTCGAAGTGCCCACCACCAGACAGAGCCCCAATGCGAGCCCTTTTGTAGACCTGTTGCCCATCAGGACTTGAAGGCAACGATTGACCACGCAAACCCACTGGCTGCCTGGAGAAAGCCCCACCCTGCATGGCATCTTGTTGCTGGAGCTCTTGACGAAGTGAGGCCAGCCTTTGCTGCTGCGCTTCAAGAGCCAAGTGTGCTGCTTTTTCTGCTTTTTCTTGCTCCCAAAGCTTTTGTTGAAGCGCTGTTTGCTGGGCTTGCAGCTCTTGTGCTGGTTTCTGCTGAGAAGAAAACCTGCTCTGCAACAAATCCATTCTCTGAGCTGTTGCTTCCTCAACTACCATGCGCTGCTTCTCTGTATGCCCAGGGACTTGTGCTGCTTGCGCTTGCTGCTGCATCTCCTCGCAGTGAAG